GAAGGTCTAAGAGTAAACTTACTTTTAGTCATTCAGTAAACTTACTTAAAAACAATTTGTTCACCTAACTTTTAGTTGTTTATTAGTTTAACTTTAATTTGGCTTGGAAGTTTACTTTAAAAAAATGAGGCAATCGGTTTCCCGACTTTTTTTAAGTAAACTGAACTAGTTAGAATTTACAGTGTGGTGGGTTTAGGGATGTAAATTTGGTTCTTACCCCACCATGGCGGCAGTGGGTCGGGTGTTGTGCTGTGGTTGGGTGGAGGCACTGGTCGACAGCGTGACATCACTGCCTCCCTTCTCCCAATCGAAAGGCTCGTTCTCTGTGATGATTCGCTCCTTCATGCTGTTCTCAAACACTGACATGAGCAGCTGGGAAAAAACAACACGACGGACTCATCAGAAAACGTCCGGGTGTGAATACTGAGAGTACCCAGATCAGCTCACAGCAAATACCTGGTAGTCTGGTTTGGTGTAGTAGTCCAGGGCGAGGACATGGTCCAGGAAGATATTGAACTCTGAAGGCATGTGTTTGAGCAGCATCCGATGGTCATAACGCTCTTTAATCTGACCGACTTGTTCCTGCAACAAAACACCAAAACTCATATTCAGCTGCTCATGCTTCCAGCTTTGAGATATAAACAGCAGTCACAAGCCAAATAACAATCAGCTAGGTTTATTAGTTACTAATTCAACTGTTTCTTTTTTATGAAACTATGAAACGTCAGAGAAATACAATACAAATATGTGGTACATGAGCCTACAGATTTGTATTTATATGAGTAAAACATGTCACGGGGGGTCTGCTCTTTAGGGGGCACTAAGAAGCCATTTTGCGAGACTCATATATTTATGCCACAGCTGAAATGCGAGGAATTATTAGGCCTGTTATTCCTCCAAATGAATTTAATTCTAAATCTAAATGTGCCTGAAAACTCTTGAAACATGGCACACATGTCAGTGGTGGATTCTGCTTATGGGCCTCGCACATGGGTGTGGCAAAATGGCTTCAAAAGCAGCCCCCTGTGGTGTGTTTTACCAATATGTATGAAAATTGGTAGATTCATGTATCATGTCCAGACGTACAAAAAAGCTTCTAGGAGCCACGAGACAAAGCTAACAGGAAGTTAGAATTTTGAATTTAGTGGTCAGTTTTTTCAAGTTGTTGTTCTTCAACAAACATGAAATTGGTTCTCTGCAATCTAAAGAGCTTCCCGATGTAGAGTTATCAAAGGTCTGATAGATTGTTGCACCGAATTTTGATGTACATTGTCCAATCTGCCCCAAACTGCACACGTTTGATAAGAGTCTGAACACATCTACAAGCCAATATTCAGCAAGCACCCCCTACTGGCACCACATAGCGGAAACAGGAAGAGACATGCAACTTCTTTCCTGCAGTGCCTGAAACGCATGAAAACACATCCCAACGCAGTAACTCTGCTGGAGGTACATGCACACGAGATTGTTGTGTTTGTTTGGGTGAAACAGTCTGACCTTGTCTTTGATCTTTCGCCATGGCAACTGTCCAACAGCGAACTCCACCAACATGTAAAACAATGACCACAGGTCGTCATGGCGACCCATTTCCTGGAAAAAACAACAAAGACACATTATTAGGATACTGAAACCGGCACCAAGCCCCTAAATTTGGTGGCCAAAGAGAGAAATATCTGTGAAAAAACAATTGGATATATGCAGTATATCTCGATATAAACATTTTCTCTAAAATAACATACAGTAAATTCTCAAATAGTGATAATCTAATAGAACATGATGCATTGCTGTAGATTCAACTACCAACTGTATACAAAGTAGTTCAACCTTAAACATTTACAGCACATATTGATAGTTTTTGGTCTTATTTTGGTAGTTTTTTACCATATTTTCTACCATTAATAAGAACTCACATATAATGCAACAGTAATATTAATCCTAAAACATTTTCCTGCACTGTGAATACTTTTACTTGAAGTACATTTTGATGTTATACTTTTACCTTAGTAAGGTTTAAAATGCAGAACTTTCACATTAAGAGTGTCATCGGCCGAGCCTTCCCCTTTAAGAAAGGTGGGATTGTGGGTAACTTGTGTTGGTTTGTTGGTGGAAACAAGTCGTAGACGTAATTCCAGGCCTGTTAGTGTCGAACTCTCTAACATCCACCAGCAGCAGAGACAAAGACAACAACCAGCACTCACCTTGTTTTTGTGAGCGTTGACTGAAGCGTATCGGACCGTCCCTCTGAAACCCGCCACGGTTCTCGGCTGAACACAAGACGAAGCAAAGTTAGTCAACAGCACAACTCACGACTGACTTTTAAAGTTCTCCATCACACCCTGCAGCTCCAACAGATCCATAACGAGACTGAACAACTCGACATAGTGCGAAGGCCGTGAGGGTTAAAGTGTCACGTCTGCTCTGAAATGTTTTCAATTTCAAGTTGAATTTTTATGTGTTGACCATACGTAATAATCAGCTGTATGGACAATACCTCCACAGCTGATTGGCTGATTTGGACAATATAGAAGGTTCTGGGTGTTGCTGAGGATGCTGAATCCATTTCTGACATTTTCAAAATACAAAATCAACGTTTTCTACCAAAATAATCACATTTTTGGTGGCTGCAAAATGCTCAAATTCAGTATCTGTGAAAATGTCTGTGGAAAAATGGCTCAACAGTGCCCCCTAAACTCAGCACATATATATGAAAATGGGCACGCACATGTATCATGTCCAGACGTACAAAAAATCTTCTGGGACCCATGCCCCAAACCCAACAGGAATTTTTGAATTTGCTGGTAATTTTTGGTGATTTGGCGTGTTGTATGTGAACAAACTCATCATCAGATCGACCTTCAGTTTGGTCAGTGCAACCTAAAGACCATCACGAACAAAAGTTGTGCTATTTGGGACTGTGATTAGAGAATTACTGAACACACCTACAAGCCAATAATTATTGAATTATAGTCAGAGTGCCACCTACTGGAAACAGGAAGTGAGCCTTCATCATCTTGTGGTCGACACATAACGCAGCTCCATTCATTGCTGCTTGCAGCTTTAATTTTGAGTTTATTTTGAGATTATTTATATGATTAATACATTGGAGCTTCAATCAGAAAAGGTTCAGTGTCATTGTTGTCAATTGGGTTCATTTTGGTCGCTGACCTGTAGGTCTTTGCTGATTTTCTTATGTACTCATCATATGAATAACTTTCAAAAATCCACTCGAAATGAATCAGGTATCCGGAGAAATATGACCACTTCTGGCTAAACAGCAATTTTTCCTACTTTTAAAATGTCAGAAATTTGATTCATCATGCGATTAAAACATCCCAACTTCCTGGAGAGACTGTGTTGCTAGTGCAATTATTACATATAATTTATTCTGTATCAAGAGAAAACGATAGGAATTAAGTGCATTTATGACCCAAACATTATATCACCATTCAGTCTGAACACAAAGTGGAAGCGTTACCTACAGGTAGGACTAGGAGCAGACAATCTTCATCATGTTTTCTGACGTAAGAACACAGTAAATAATAAACCAAATAACCAAATAATGAACAGGAACACAGGCAGAGGGTCACACTGATCCACACAGCCTCCATCCGCCACACCACACTGGGGCAATAGGGTTTCCATGGCGATATTATCATATTTGTTTGTTGGTGAGCAGAAGTAAATGGGATGCATGTTCAGGTTCCCATGGCAACTATTCTCTCC